ATATATATATATATATATATATATATATATATATATATATATATATATATATATATATATATATATATATATATATATATATATATATATATATATATATTAAAAAAAACAAAGGCAGCTCGCGAGCTGTCGAACAACCAAATTTGGGTCCGAGCTCGAGCTCGTCCGAAGCTCGAACTCGTGAGCTCGATCTCGAGTTCGAACCTTTGTCGAGCCGGCTCATCGAGTTCGCGAGCCGGCTCAGCTTGTTTACCACCCCTAGGGCCTTTTTAGTTGGATGGTTTGGATAGATAGGTTGGGATATGATTATTAATATTAGGATTAATATGATTATTAGTAACACTAATCACGTCTTTTGGTTTGCCTGATACCCTCATGATTAAGATTGTGTATCAATCATATCTCATATTTTGTTTCAATGATACGTAGGGATTATGCTCAAATTGTCAAAAATACCCCTTCCATTCTTCTTCATTTAATTACTGCTATCTTTGTTCCTTCCTTTTTTTTTTTTTTCTTTTTGTTGGTAATAATGAACATAAAATAGATAATATCACTTGGATCAGTTAATTTGATTATAAAACAATATAAACTACTTTGGAAAACATAAAAAATTTGTTCCAGTTTTAGGTTTTTTTTTTTCCGTCTCATGCTTTAGCATTTTAACATAAAAATAAAGAAAGAAAATCAAAGTTTTATGATAAACAATCTAGCTTATTCATTTCTGAACTGGTATATAGAAGTAAATTTAAAGGGATTTACTATTCAAAAGTTGAATCTATATTATGATATTTAGAGGCTGAAAATAAATTCATTTATTTGATTATTTCCAATTTCAAGACTTTCCTTTACCTTGTATTCTCAAACTGCCAAAATAATTTTATTTTTTCCCACAAAAGTCTCCATAATCCATACATCTATTAATTCATTTATTTTTTTTTAAATGGTACATAAGCAAGATTTAGTCGGCAAAAGAGAAAAAGGTAAAAATGCGAGACATTAATACGAGGAATGGAAATAAAAAAAAATAATAAATAACCAATTTTGTTACAATTACGAATTCTTGGTCTCTAACAATTTGAAAATTAGAGCCGCCTTGTTCGAGGGAAAGAAAAAGAAAAGGAGTGACCAAAAAAGAAATAGATGACTCAAAGTGTTGATAAGGGCACCATTGTAATTGAACATTTCACGGCCAAGTGGGATTATGTGGTGACAAAGTATCAACCCCATTTTGGGTTGACAAATAATCAACCAATTGGTTGACAAAATCATTGGGCCCAATAATCATGGAAGGGTTCAACTGTCAGACCAAACATTGTATTAAGAGAGACTATTTGTCCCATCACGGCTAAACTTTCAAACCAAAGAGGTCCCTAGGGAAATATGTAATACCCCTCTAGTTTAGAAAATATTATGAACTAAACTCATTTGACTTTTATTGACTTTTGCCTACACCCAAAATCCAGTTTTAATTTGTGAGACCCCCTAGATTTGTGTGAGAAGACAAAAAAATCATCTACCGCTATAACTTCCCACTTCTCGTTTCTAACCGGTATGTTTTCTCTCTTCTCTCTTCCATCCCACCAAACCCTAGATCTATTATTTGCACCACTAAAAAATTGAGGGAGGCAACATGAGATCACTGGCGGAAGGAGTCGACAAACAGAGGCGGTGAAAGGATTCAAAGGATTAGTAGCAGGCCGATAGAGATCTGAAATTACCCTACGCCGCCCACATTCTCACCACAACCGCCACCCTCTGCAAAAATCGCTACCGCCGCTCTTCTCCAAAAGCGCTACCGCGGTACTCGGTGAAAACCGCCAAACAAATGATGCATAACCTTCTCACACCGCCAACTGCCAATATCTACAATATTAATTGGTAAATTTTCTTTTTTTTTTTCTCGAATAAATTGTCGAACTATCAATATAACTCGTTATGGATCTGATTTTTCAGTTCTATTATTTGTTTGTTATGAATCCATATATCGATTTTCAACTATTCTGCATTTTATTGATTTTTTTGAAATTTTTTTTTTGGTTATTTCGGATCCTAGAGCTTGATTGTATGCATTGACACTCTGTGGTTATATTTATTTCGGGTTTCATGTTGTTCTGACTTCGTTTTATTTATTTGAGAATATAGGTGTAGGTACCATTTGGTTGTTATGGATTTTGATTGTATAATACCATAATAGTCACGTATAGTCGCATAATTAAGCCTGTTATATTTGCAAATAGTTGTGCTCAGATATAATGTGCTCAGAGTCGCATATAGTCATATAATGTGTTTATTTCATATTGCACACCATTTGCAAATTTTTTGCCCACTTAGCATGTGTATTGATCAACTGTTTACATTTTATCCCTTTTTTATGTTTTCTTCGTATGTTTTCAGTTTTGAGCAGCATCAGTAACATTGGCAGTGACATCAACTGATGTAGACAGATTAGATGATCAAAATTCTATGATAGTCCTATACCCGAATAGTCACAAAGTCATATAATCAGTCACATATATCGTTATGTATAGTCATATATAAGCTCTGTAGGTTTTTCCGATGTATAATGATACTGATGAATGTTTTTGTTGAAGAAATGCATGTGAGTAAGCGTGAATATATTGTGGTTGTGTGTTGAAGTTGTTTTATATTCGTTTATTATACATAATTGGTTATAATACGAATATTGTTATTTATTATACATAATTTCTAAATTTCTCGACTCCATATATAATTTATAGATTGATAATATGAATTGAACTCTGCCACATCATTTTTTTTAAATCACCTTAACAATATATGTATGTTGTTAATACTAAAAATAACAAATGTATATATAATAAATTTTAAAACATAAAAGAAATTGATTGAATTTTAAAAAAATCCGAGTATAAGATACAAATGACTCATAAGGATTTTTTTAATATAAAATAAATATTTATTTAGAAAAAATATAGAATACAATTCATTCTAATTAATTTCTTTACTTTAAAAAACAACTATAGATGAGGACTAGAATCAAATACTATATTTTGGTTTTCCTTTAATTAGTGTTACACTTGTGCGATACACGGGGTATTTATCGCAAAAAAAAATATTTATAATAAAAAGTTTCTCGAGAAAGTAGCATCAATTGTTGATATGTAATACAAAGAAGTAGAAAATATTAAAAAAAAAAAAAAAACTAATTTGTATGGTCTAATTAAGTGATGAAATAAGCCAAAATACGTGAAAAAAACTAAACATCGAAGGTTTAATTTCCGCATACAAAACGCGAATATATTATTGGTCCCAAAGTTTAACCACTATAATGACATATCTCTGCTAAAACTTAAATTCGATCCACACAATAAGTGTTATTGTGTTTGATACCAACTGCCCTAAACACATGTAATGGATCCAATACAGTGCAATTTACGTGCATATTTTGTACAACGGTCATACAAAATAGGTAAAACATTACCAAAACAATATAAATATAAATATTTAAAGACATAAAATCATTCTAAAAAAATACCGTCACGAAAAACATTGAGGGGAGGCCATAGCAAGTTTGTAGTACAATTCAAATTAACCTACAAATGAGGAATAATAAGACATATAAGTAACATAAAATAAAGGTCGTTATTTAATATTGTATAAAACTTTATATAGTATTACCTTCATATACGCTGAAAAACTTCCTTGTATACAACATTATTTCTAACGTTGGTCGTCTCGCCAGATTCCAAGTTGATCAGAATCTTTATGCCACTTTGACTTTTAAATATCGAGAGTGCGACATAGAGCTGTCCTTGACTGAAAACAGGTCTGGGCATGTACAATCCTACATGAGAAAGAGTATGTCCTTGAATTTTATTGATTGCCATTATGAATGAAACTATTAGCCGAAACTGACATCACTGGAATGTAATAGGCAATGCAAAGTTGGACGGTACCAAAGTCATTTGAGGAATGAACACCATATCGCCAACATGTTTACCAGAGTGGATCATGCAGCTGAGAATGTGTTTTCCCATATTAATAACCTGAAGCATGGTCCCGTTGCAGAATCCTCTGGTCTGATCAACATATCTGATGAACATGACTGGAACACATCTTTTCAGTGTCAACTTATGCGGTGGAATTCCGGAACATGATAGGGTGTTGAAAAACTCGGAGAAATATATTTCTGACGCGATTCATGAGCCATGGTCATGACTTTTGTTTGTCGGGCTGTTTGCTTGGGATATGTTAACGTGCTATTAAAGCTCAATAACCTAAATACGTTGGGAAAAAAAGACCATTCTGCAGAAAAATACGAAAATGAGTTAAAACAAAATCCTGATAGATCTCGCACTTTTAGAAACAACCCATTTGACGAAACCCTCATATGATGTTTCTATGAATTGATATGAATTTTCTAAAACATTCCTTAAATAACATAAAATTGATTTTTATGAGTCGAAACGAGTCGGATCACCAAAATCTGACGCAATATGAGCTATGATCATGAATTTTGTTCGTCGGGTCAATTTACTTGGAATAGGGTTGTTAGGGCATATCCAATTATGGTCTTTTTGAACTGTTAAAAGCTATAATTTATGAATTATACCATTTATCAACCAAAATCTCAAATTCAAAGGGTCATGTAAATTTTAGATGGCAATGTAAAATATACCTCCAACTACTATGTATAGCAGTTTCTATTCATAGCTGCTAAACTAAAATAATATAAAATAATCAAAAAGTAACAAAAGTCAATACTATCTTTCATCATGATAAAGTTGAAATTATTGAAAAGTAATATAATACAATGAAATACTATAATATAGCTAACGTGATTGGAGTTGAAGGATTAAAAGTGAGCATGTAAAACACTATTCACAACGTATAATACATATAGCATCTCATTTTTTAGCACTCTCCATTGGAGATGCTCTTAACATGCTATTAAACTCAAAAACCTTAATTAGTTGGGAAAAAATATTTTTTTTCCATAAAAATGCGAAACTAAGTTAAACGAAAATTCTATTAGATATCGCAATATTAGAAACAACCCATTTGACGGAACCCTCGTATGATGTTTCTATGAATTGATATGAATTTTCTAAAACTCTCGTTCAATAGCATAAAATTGATTTTTATGAGTCAAAACGACGGTGGATCACCAAAATCTGACACGACCTTGGGTTAATGTTGTTAACGTGCTATTAATACTCACAAAATCCTGATAAAACGGGATAACGACCATTTTGTAGAAAAAATACGAAAATGAGTTAAAACCTAATTCTAATAGATTTCGTAGTTTTAGAGTTACACAATGATGTTGCGATATGATTTTTTTAGAATTTCCTAAAATAGTAACTTGATTTTTATGAGTCGAAACGACGTTGGTTCACCAAAATCTGACGCGATTCATGAGTTGGTCATTAATTTTGTTTTTCGGGCCGTTTTGCTTGGGATATGGTTGTTAACCTGCTATTAAAAATCAAAAAACCTAAATAAGTCGGGACAAACGACCAATTTACAGGAAAATACGAAAATAAGTTAAAACATAATTTTCACAGATCTCGCAATTTTCGAAACAACCCACTTGAGGGAACCCTCATATGATGTTTCTATGAATTGATTGAATTATCTAAAATTTTCGAAACAACCCACTTGAGGGAACATTCAGATCTTAGTACAAAATTATTGGAGCTTTTGTTTGCACTTCGGTCGATTTTGAATCTATTTTTGACCTTCATAGAGTTCGAATTTAGGAAAAATGCATGAAGTATTAAATATAGCCCTTTAGTTAACTATCTAGTGCCGCTAGAATCAGGTGATTTTTGAAGTTCAGATGAGGAAGATATGGTCGAAATTATGGACACTGTCCAAGTTGATACGCGATTCATTCTTCCAATTCGATTTTATTTATTTAATGCAATTGTTTTCTTTCATTTTGTTTGTTTTTTTTTTCCTTAATGTTCACCTAATTCTTGTTTTTTTCACCCATAAATACAAAATCTATCAATTAACTGCAAATATAATTAAATTTAGACCAAAGATTTACACAAAATAAACGTTTTGAGTGTAAAATCTACACTCAACACTTGCCCAAACAACCACCTTGGCTAGATTTGCCAATAAAACGTATCCTCGGGGCAAACTAGACCATTTAACGTTTACCCATCAAATACGTAATTTGATTGAGTTAGGCCAAACCGATGGAACTTGAAATATCCGCACGTTGGCGTGGGTTACATACATGATAACAATAATACAGGTTGGTAATTGGTATGATATGAGAATGAAGAAATTGTTAATTTTGTTGAATAATAATTTTTGAAAGGAGGAAAGGGTAAATAAGTAATTACTAAGACAAAGTGTATGACACGCGGCAGCCAGTGGTTTGGTCGCCACGTCACAGGCCACCACGTCTACAATTCCAACATTTTAGGCGTTCTCCGACGACTCCTCATTTTAACAACTTGTTCCTCACCACCATCTAACATCTATCTGTCCACAATAAATAAATATAATAATAATACTAATAAAATTAATTAATTAAGAGAATAATCCCACATTCATTCGCTACTTTCAACTCTCTCTCCTCTCTCTCTCTCTCTCTCTAATTTTCTCTCTCTCTAACGGTTGCCGGGAAACTGAACTTGCTGTCGATTTCTCTGCCTTGGCCATGAATCCAGAATAGTAAGCCCCCTTTTCTCGTGGATGAATATTTTTTTTATTAGTTGAACAGTTTTCGTTTGCTTTGCATCGTTGGTTTGGTGCTCTGTTTGTTTGATCACTTGGATCCGTGAAATTGTTATTTCACTGGAGATCAGCTTTTGTTGGGTTCTTCTCACATTTATAATCTATTCGAATTAGAAGGGGAATTTTCTGAATTCTGATCCTTTCATCCGATGTAATTAAACAATTATAACTTTTTTCAATTACGAAGAATTCGATGATTTTGGTGATTGGCCTTCTCCTGCTTTTATATATCTGTTTGCGATCACATGTTTCTTTTTTTGTTAATTTATGTTTTTTGTTTTTTGTTTTACATCGGTTGATGATTTGCTCAAACCGTTATTGGGTCTTTTAAATATTTTGCATCTACTGTGGTGATTTTTAGTTTCCCTGTGGATTTGTACATTTTTCGACTCTCCCATATGGAGTGAATGAGATGATATGCCACTAAAAAATTCTGAATTTTTATTTAATTTTTTTCTCGATTGAAATGTATCATGTCAAGCGAACCGATTTTTCCAGAATTTGAAGTAAAACTCCGTGTTTATGCCCTTTCTTCCACAAAACTCTTCTAAGAATTAATACTCACCTCAGATGATATCTTCTTATGAATCAATAGTTGTAGCTAAATGTTGTCTCCTTGAAATGGATGAATGGATGTCTAAATAGTAGAGAATTCTATCCCTTACGTTTTATTAGCAAATGTGCACGCGATGGTAAATTGGTGATGCAGAAATATATTTTACTTGTTTTTGTTTTTTTTTTGTCCTTTCAATTGCATGATTGTTCTTTGCTAATTGCAATGCATATTGATGCGATCGGTTTTTTTTTTGGGGGGGTGCAGCGACTACCTTTTTAAGCTTTTGCTTATTGGAGACTCTGGTGTCGGCAAATCATGCCTTCTTCTTAGGTTTGCGGTAAGTTCTTTGTTCATCTTAAAATTTATTTATTTATTTATTTTTATCAAAATCAGACCATTGGATATATATGATGCATTTCCCTTTAGTTTATTTTGTTCTTCGATGACTGTGTTAGCAACTGTAAGTACCACATTTTTTGGTCTGATCCATTTGAAACTTTTACAGCTCATTCAGAACGTTATCGTGTTTCGGATGTGTGTTTGGAGTCTATTTTCAAAATTATTAGATGGTCCTGTTATTTTGAAGTTATCGTAGAGGTGTTGTGTACTGCACATAGAATAAAATATAGGTTAAATCAATAACTCTGAACTCTGCTACGCTTAGTTTGTCGATTATCAGTTCTAGTATAGTATGAGGCTTTATATCGTGCAGTTGGTGCTTTATGGATGAAGATTCTCGTGTGTATTATTCCTGCGCAATCTGATCGTACCAAGATCTTATTTATGATGGAGGAATCTCTTTTACTTGTTTTAACCATTGTCTTATTTCATTTCCAGGATGATTCTTATCTCGAGAGTTATATTAGTACCATCGGTGTAGACTTTGTAAGTGATCTGTTCTATTCTACCTCTTTGACATCTAAGCAGTTAAGGAATTATAGTCCTTATGATAATTTGTCTTTTTCGTGTTCTATGATGTAGAAAATCCGCACAGTCGAGCAGGATGGGAAAACAATTAAGCTACAAATAGTAAGTATTTGAAATTCCGCTTTTATCAGTCTTTTTATATTCAGATGTGTGGTCTTGTAGGTTTTGCATAGTTGTAAAGAAGTAACCATTTAATGGCAATTGTGTATATGAAGTGGGATACGGCTGGACAAGAACGTTTTAGGACAATTACAAGCAGCTATTACCGTGGGGCTCATGGTATCATTGTAAGTATTTCTCGTTTTCTTTTCTTTCGTTTTCACTCAAATGTGGTGAAGTTTCGACTTATTCTGGTCACACATTTGTTTGTACCAGGTAGTTTATGATGTGACTGATCAAGAGAGTTTTAACAACGTCAAGCAATGGTTGAACGAAATTGACCGATATGCAAGTGACAGTGTTAATAAGCTTCTTGTTGGAAACAAGTGTGATCTCACCTCACAGAAAGTCGTGTCCACCGAGACAGCTCAGGTAAAATGTTGTACGCACTTTTTACGATTTTCATTTTGTTTTCAAAAGAAATGGTTTGCTCCTTTTCGATAAAATGTGGATACGAGGGGTAATATACCTATCTATTATGCTACTTTTGTACAAGGCCAGTGGATTCTAGTAAGCCCCAGATTATATAAATGACTTTGGTTAATTTTCAGGCATTTGCTGATGAAATCGGGATTCCTTTTATGGAAACAAGTGCGAAAAATGCCACCAATGTGGAGCAGGCTTTCATGGCTATGTCTGCGTCGATCAAGACCAGGTAGGAATTATCAAAATATTTCAAATTTAGGTATGGAAGTTAGAAATGATTATAGACTTGTATCGATTATTATGTAATGACGAGTTTTTTTGAATGTGTTTTTCAGGATGGCAAGTCAACCAGCCAACAATAGTGCCCGACCTCCGACTGTGCAGATCAGAGGACAGCCTGTTAACCAAAAATCAGGCTGCTGCTCTACCTAAAATGACAGCTCCCTATTTGGATAATGTTGCGTTTGTTCCTCATGAAATGTAAAACCACTAGAATTCTCACCCAGTGTGTTGAGAAAACTTCATAAGTTGGTTGGTTGGTTTATCCCTTGAGGAGTATGTTAAAATATCTATTCTTTTTTGTCATGTGTTTGATCATCAGTTATTACAGACATTTGTACAAACTAAAAGTATTGGTGAATACTACTAAATTTGACTGGGAACTATAACCAATATTGTGCAAACATAAACTAAATTTCGACTCTGATATGCAACTTTGTGCTGGCAATTGTCTTTTTGGCATTCATTAGTATATTACTTACCTATATGACGGAGATGGTGAATAATATCTTCAAGATAGTTTCGTTGCGCTAATTTATTTAAAGTTAACCATGGATACTTACTACCAGTAATCACCGCAAGAGCATTTCCCGTCCTTAAAATGGTGAAATCTCGTCGCATCTCTGACAATGATCTCTCTTCCTTCGATTCCCGATATAAATTTAGTGGCCAAATGGCAGTCCTCGCAAACTCTCAGGTTCTTGAAAACCCTAATCGGAACACCCAACGGCAACTTCAATAGTCCAAATGCTATCGCCAGTTTCTCACTGTGCCCGAGGAGCAATTGCTCTTTCTGCTCCTCTGTTACATCATGCAAAGCAGATTCAAGAACGGGCAAATAACCGGCCAACTTCATTTTTTTCTCGAGCTCATTCAGTTTTTCATGTATGCACTCCAGTTCAGAGTGAACCCTATCTCCTGATCTAAACTCATGCATCACACTCTTTATCTCGATCCAGCTATATCCCGGTGTTTTAATCGCCTTATTTTCCTTCATCGATCTTCTAATTCTTGAAACACCTTCCCATTTCTTCTTCGCGGCGTAGACATTAGCAAGCTGCACATATGCAGCTGGATTAATAGGATCAAGATTTAGCAATTTTGTCGCAGCGAATTCGGCAATTTCTAAGTTCTTGTGTATCCTGCAAGCGCCTAAAAGGGTTCCGTATATGGCTGAATGAGGTTCAAACGGCATTTTCTTAATCATATCCAAAGCCTCGTTAAGCTTACCAGCTCGACCAAGAAGATCGATCATACACGTGTAGTGATCTGGTTTTACTCCAATTCCATAATCCTTCTGCATTTGCTCAAAGTAACCAATCCCAAGTTCTACTAATCCTCCATGGTTACAGGCGGATAAAACTCCAACAAAGGTAATCCAATCTGGTTTAATTCCTTTATTTCTCATCTCATTAAACAAATCGAGAGCTTTGTGACTAACCCCATGCTGAGCAAATCCCGAAATCATTGCATTCCAAGTGACCACATCTTTAACCGACATCTCCATAAACAATTTCCATCCATCTTCCAAAACCCCACACTTGCAATACATGCTGATCAACGAAGTCCCTACTGTCGTGTCCCAATACTTAGGGGACTTATACATAAGCTGATGAACTTGTTTTCCGAGTTTCAAAACCGACAAATTACTACAAGCCAAAAGAACACTACTCAAACTCGACGGATTGGCCTTAATCCCCAATTCCAACATTTTCTTGAAAATTTTCAAACCATCCTCTCCTCTACCGTTTTCGACATAGCCCGCAATCATTGCATTCCATGTTACCAAATTTTTTTCCGGCATTTCTTGAAATGTCTTTTCGGCCAATTCAACATTCCCACACCTCATATATCCAGTTACTATACTCGTCCGAGCAACCACACTCTTCACGGGAGCCTTTTCGAATAATTCTAATGCTGAATCCATATCGCCAATTTCAACGTACCCTGATATCAAAGCATTCCATGTAACTGCATTTTTTATGGGCATTATACGAAATAGCTCCCTAGCCTCATCCATCCTGCCATTCTTTGAGAACCCAGAAATAATGGTATTCCACGATGCAGTATCTTTAACCGGAATCCGATCAAAGAAATCTTTAGCAGCCTCAATAGCAGAATTTTTGAAATAGCAAGCCAACATGACATTGTACGAAAAAATGTCTGGTTGGGGAATTTCATCAAACAAGTGCTGTGCGTCTTTTAATTTCCCAGGCTTGGTGGAAAAACCTGCTAGAATCGAATTCCAAGTGATGGTAGTCCTCACCTTCATGCTCGAGAAAACTTCGAGCGCCGAATTCAAATCCCCACCTCGAATATAGGAGGTTATCTTTTTGTTGGACGAGATAATGTGGCGCGAATGGTAGAATTCGCAAGGAAGTTGTGGCGAAGAAGAATTGGAGGAAATAGTTTGTGGGACTGAATCGGCATTTGGGTGATGAACAGTAGGAGCGGAGGAATCATAGTGGAGAAGATGTTTAGATATTTGAATTGTTTTCCAACGTCTTAGCTGAAGATTCAGCATTTATCATGCTTCGTTTTAGTACAAGGTTTCAATCAACAATGTCTTAGGCTGAAGATTGTAGGGAAATCTTAATAAAATGACACTATTAATTGACTTGGGGCAAAATTGTAAAAGAATACAATAAATGTTTTGTTGGAATTTTTAAGTGATAATTATTTTTAACAAAAAAAAATTCTCTAAATAATAATATATTACTGTTTGATAAAAACCCCTTAATAGTCAATACTTCTTTTAGTAGGGAAATGCCCAAATTATTTTGCACAATTTGAGAAAAGTTCACTTCTAATTTCAACCATCATTTTTTTCAATCATGTCCCTACCACTTCATCGGCACTATCACAGCACTATCCGCCCTTTTTTTTTTTTTTTTCCTAATATTTTAATTTTTATTCTTTTTTAGTTTTTTAATATTTTCTTGAAATTTTGTTTTAAAAAAAAATTCTTCATTTTATAACTTTTTTTTCTATCAGGTATATTAATCGACTTTGAAGCATATTAATCGACTATAATGAAGCATAATCGATTGAGGAATTGACTATTAAAAATAAAAAAAAACACAACTACATAAAAACGAAAATCAACATTTTTTTACAAGACAAATAATATACATAAATTGTAATTGATTTATATAAATCGGAATAAATACACAAAAATCCAAAAACGAATTAAAAAATGAAATTGATTAACCTTAATCGATTACCAAAACAGTCGGTTAACACTTTAATCGACTATCAGAGCATAATCGATTAACTTAATCGACTATGATGATGTATAGTCGATTAAGGGTCCAACATGCGCGAATTTCTTTGCCCGCGCTGTCTTCCTCCCAATCAACCCAAAAATTCTTAGATCTGGTTCTCATCGTCACCACGCCGTTGCCACACCACACCATCACCACCCCACTTCCATATTCCGACGGTTTTTTATTACAAATAAAGTTAATCACAACCCACATCACCAACCCAAATAGAACCACCACCATCAAAACGACCAAACAAAGCCACCCGAACCAATACAAGAAAAATCAAGGACGCATCAGCGGTAACGAAGAAGAAATCTACGCAAATTCGAGAAACTGTGGGTAAGGGGAACGCTACTTGGGGTATTCGCGAGTGAGGGGTCCTCCGCTGCGTCGTCGCCATAGTCCCCGTCGTGGAGTTCCAGAAGTTCTTCGTGATTTAGGCCATGGTGGTGGCAGTGAGTGGAGAGAGAGGTCTGAAATCTGAATATTGAGAAGAGAAGCGGGAGAAACGACACAGAGGAAACAAAATGTTGGAAAGGTGATAAATAATTAGGGTTAAAATAGTTATAATTAAATAAGGGTAATTTTAAAATTATGAAAACATTATTTGGGGAGAATATTAGATAATAGGGTTTTCTCTAATTACTTTTGGGAGGGGTATTTTTCTTAACTATATTTCCTAGATGGGGGTTTTTGCTAATTTTTCCTATATTTTATGTCAACAGTTCCAAGCAAAATCTCCATGTTTTAATAAATTAATTATATATATAAAAATATCCGTAGTAAATTCAAGTCAAATCCCAAAAAAAATCTCTACCAATTTTTTTCCCCAAACCTTTCTCTTACAAATTTTAAATAAAATATTAAATTAATTCGTAAAAAAAATGCTATTTATTGTACAAACTCATACTCTAAAAAAACTACCACCGTCGCGCCACTGCCTCTGACTATGTGAAATGCAAATAGCAAACTCGAAACTAGAATTTTCATTATCAAATTGCAAACAACAAACTACCTATGATTTCGCCAAATGCAAACAACAAATTGAAGAAAAAAAATCAACAAAATTTTCATTATCAAATTGCAAACAACAAACTACCTATGATTTCGCCAAATGCAAACAACAAATTGAAGAAAAAAAATCAACAAAATTTTCATTATCAAATTGCAAACAACAAACTACCTATGATTTCGCCAAATGCAAACAACAAATTGAAGAAAAAAATCAACAAAATTTGCATTATTGAATTGCAAACAACAAACAACCTATGACTTCGACAAATGCAAACAGCAAACTTGAGAAAAAAAAAAAAAAACAGCATCATTAAAAAAATCAACCAAAAAAATTGTTATGGAACGTTCACATTGCAAACAACAAAAATATTAAACAAAGTGTTTGCATAATGTAACTTAAACACATTGCAAACTGTAAACCAGAAGAATAGAATCTTAACATCAAACTCAATTCTTCAAACAACAATCGAAGTTAACCCAAACCTGCAACAATCGAAGTTGTCCGCGTTTAACTCTTTCATCAAGAAATCATCTCATAGTGTGAACAACTCCATTTTTTTTCTTCTGTATAACATTTCTGAAACAAAAAAAAAAAAAGAATTAAAAAGGAAAAAAAAATGAAAATAAGGAGAGAGAGAGAGAGAGAGAGAGAGAGAGAGAGAGAGAGAGAGAGAGAGAGAGAGAGAGAGAGAGAGAGAGAGAGAGAGAGAGATAGGTAGGTGAGATTGGAGAGACATGGAGAATAATATATGCGGTTTGTATTCTTATTAATTGATGGTGTTCGTCTCTGTAATACTCATTATTTAATTTATTTATATTATTTTTTTTGGGTCAAATGACTTATGCCTATATACATCTAGCAATTAAAATCTCCATCTGTATAAGTTCAGAATAAGGGATGTCTAGCTAATTTCCACTAATTGAATATATAAATAATGTTAGGATTGGAGTGTATTATTTCATTTATTAATTTTTAGCTGCAATAACTTTAATTTGATGCGAACATTGTAATTAATAATTTATGAGTTTAACCACACGTATAGTCGCTTCAGCCTCCTTCAACCTTCTAAGTTTTCGGCATGAGCACGTATGGTCGCTTCAACCTCCTTTAAGGTCGCCGAGCTATTTTTCAGGTGCTCTTTTTGATCTCGCAGTTTTATGCAAATGTTGTTCATAACATCCACATCTTTGCGTAGGCGGGCGACCTCAGGTGTGGTCTCAGTGCCTCTGAACGCAAAAGCGCGATTGGCCACGAAACCTGTTAACTGCCATGGAGAAAACTGATGCATCAAAACATAAACCCTAGAGTCGCCAAGGCACGAGAATATAAGACCACACACCTGACCCAAGGCCACAGTACGTAGCATGTTGCAACGCCCTAGCTTTGGCAGAGCGTTGCCAAAGCTCTCGATATTAGAAGGCACTAACAAAGAAAGAAGAGCACGAACCATAAGGCGTTCGGCGGGATCCAGGCTGCTGCAGGAGCACTTGGATGGGAGCTCCTGGAAGGAAGGGCTCGCGGCGGGACGTTTTTCCCCGGCTTCAACCCAAGCCGAGCTGACCCTAGGTACGTCTCGAGACGGAAGATGCACTAAGGAAGTCAAGGGACAGGCCGCAAGAATAACGGATCGTCCGGCAGGGGCGACAGGCCATCCGAGGCGAGTCAAGGAGAGGGACGAAACTCTAGGAGACTCATTCGAACCAACCATTCTCCTTAGCTTGTTAAAAAGACTCATCTGAAAATACAAAAAAAATTGCGTGAGTATGAGAAAAATGAGCAATGTAGCTACTAGCTCAAAAATCAAATATTGGAATGCTATTCACAAATAAAAAATAAACATAACAAGAACAAACACATGCACGAATTGTTAAAATTGCAACACCAGCTTTTAGTTACAGGCTTGACCAAGTCTTTTGGAAATTTGTTGAGCTGTTAAGTTAGTAGAATTTGTTTGTTATTTTAGTTATCTATTTTTAAGCATATTGTTTAGTCTTACCGAGTCATTAGTCATTAAAGTAGATGGACTTATTCTTCTTCTGTAAATCTATATAAGACAAATGTTTTCTCTGAATAAATAAATCCTTCAATAGCATAGTTATTCTATAGTGTGAGATTTTATTTTCCAGTATATTATTTCATTTTCCATCTTTTTTGTTCAACAATCTGGTATCAGAGCCAGGTGGTGTGGGCATTTAATTTTTATGGGAGTACTTTCGGTTAGAAAGATGAGTGATCTTCAGGTTATTGGTGGAGTGAAAAAGCTCAAGAATCAAAATCTTGGTCTACATGTATGATGTCATACATGCAAGGTCAGGACTTGCGAGAGGTCGTCAATGGAAGCGAAGTCACACCACCATAGATAGAGGATGCAAATAGTGCGTTGTGAAAATGGAAAATAAAAGCGGGCAAATCCCTAGACAAATAAGCATTGTCAGACTCAAACGATTTAGTTTCATCTCAAATCAAATTGAGTTTGGATGAAGCTGATCAAGTAACATGTGACGGTGATGAAGAAGGTACAACTCAAAATTCATGGCAAATTGGTGTATATCCACAATCAAGAGAACAAGGCGAAATTGCTAAATTTGAACATGAAGCACCTGCTGGACTGAGGAGATCTACAAGGGCGAGAAAATCAAATTCTAAATATGCAAACGCTGCTATAGTAGAAGATATCGATGCAAAAGAAACAAAGACATTTGAGGAAGCATATCAAAACATGGATTTTAATACAACCATGAAAGAGGAAATTGCGGCGTTGGAAAAAAAATCAAACTTGGGAACTCGTGCCGAAGCTAAGAGACGTGAATCCTATTTCTTGTAAATGGGTTTAGAAAATAAAGCGCCGCACCGATGGATAAATTGAGAGACACAAAGCTCGCCTGGTAGCTTGAGGGTTTTCTCAAGAATATGGATCAGACTATGACGAAACATTTAGTCCAGTTGCAAAGATCACAACCGTGAGACCGTTACTTGCCCTTGCAGCCACTAAGGGTTGGAACTTGTGGCAAATGGATGTAAAAAATATATTTCTCCACGGGGAGTTAGATCAAGTGATTTACATGAATCAACCAATGGGTTTCCATAGTCAAACTCACCCTGAATTTGTGTGCAAGCTTCAAAAGGCACTCTATGGATTAAAGCAAGCACCGAGGGCTTGGTACAGTAAGATCGTTGAATTTCTTACTCTTAGTGGTTTCTATGTTGCACCTGCTGGTTCTGGTTTGTTTATCAAAATTAATGGACATAAGTTGGCAATTGTTCTAGTGTATATAGACGATCTAATCATAACAGGTGACTGTGAAGAAGAAATTCGTCGAACAGAGGAGAATTTATCGATTCGCTTTCAAATGAAAGAAATCGGAAAACTCAAGCATTTTCTTGGCCTTGAGATTGAACGT